AATTTTTGACAATATTCGATTTTTCTTGAAATAATCGAAATATTCTCAAGTTTTTGTAAAAAATCTTTTTTTTCAAATTTTTCAAAATTTAGTTTTTTTTTGAAAATTATGAAAAAATTCGAAAATTAGAATTTTTTGAAACATTGAATTTTTTTGAAAATTTTGATTTTTTTTTTTGAAAATTTTCAAAATTATTAAATTTTTTGTAAATGCATTTTTGCACACCGTCTATTCAAGCTTTTAAATTAATCTAATCGGTTGATCCGTTCTCTCAAAATCTGCATAACAGTTTTTACACCCTTAGCGCTTCATACATCCTTCATACATAACCGCTAGACCTGCCTTCCCCAAAATTTAATCAGCTATTCATCTTGTCAATATAAGTAAAATGTTATTTGAATTATTAAAATCATACGCTCCGTTCTCTTAAAAACTGAGTTACCATTTTTGGCACTTTTTGCCCTGTAACTTCGGAACGGCTAAACCTGCCTTCGTCAAAAACAAATCAGCACGTTTCCTTATCAATACGAAACGGTAACTCAGTATTTAAGAGAACGGAGCGTCCGATTTGAATAATTCAAAAAACATTTTACTTGTATTAACACGAAGAAGAGCAGATCAAATTTCATGAAGGCAGGTCTAGCGGTTTCAGAGATCTAGTAAAAAAAGTAAAAAAAATGTCATTTGGCGGTCAAAAATGATCATTAGACATATGCACATAAAATTATCAGATATTTTATAGAGATTTTAACAACAAGTATAAATTTTGTTTACATTCCTATGGATTCCGTACCAATGATTATCCGTTAGACGGCGACGCGTCGCGTACGCGCTTCTATATTTTGTCTCTATGCAGTTAAAGCAGTACGATTGCTTTGAAAAAAATTTCAGAATTTCCAAAATATTTCAAAATAAATTTTTCTCAAAAAAGTCTTCTCTTTTTCAAAAAAAGTAAATTTTTGTCAAAAATTTATAGATTTTCAAAAATCTAATTTTTTCAGAGTAATTTTTTTTCAAAAATGTTAATCTTTAAAAAAAAAATATTTTTGGTACGGGAAGTTCTAGCAATTTGCCTTAAGGCACGATGCCATGCGCCCCACTAGTCATTTTTTTGCGATTACTATAACTTACTCTACGAAACGTTAAAAATATTGAAGTTACTTCCCAAGAACAAGAATACAAAAAAAAATGAATATTTCACAGATATTGGGGGAAAGTTTTATTAATTTTGCCAAACAAACCCTGCAGTCCATAGGTAATCGATGATGAAGAACGGTCCAAAATTTGCCTATCGCCAGCGGACGTCTTCGGCGTCTCTTGCAGAGTAACCTCGCGCTATAGTTTTACATAATAGTTCTCATAAGTAATCTTGTTCCAATCCACAAGAATGGACCGAGTTGAATATCTTGGTTATAACAATGAGTACGTTGTATGTTACATTGTAATTTGTGCTGTTCAGAGCATAATACGAATATGTTCTATTGCGCAATACACATAGATATTTATTCTCATTGCTAGAAAAATAGTTTGTGGTTTTTGAAGTCTCCATGACCGTTTGTTATGACGAGCAATGTTATTGGATTTATATGTTGTTCAACGCAAATAACCGTAGCAGATAAGGTATAATATATATTAATATAAATTTTAATACAAGTTTTCAAACTGAGCTTTCCCGATTAGAGGTTAGATAGGATTTCAAACAGAGGTTCCAGTGTTGATACTCTCTTCCGGCAGCCTGATTTCAAGCATTAGTGACATCGTTTTTTTTACTTGGAAATACAGATAGCGATGCTTTCAAGTGAAATAGCCTTTACCTGGCATTGCTGCATCAATAAAGATATTATGACTATTACTGAAATTGTGGTAATGAATTTCATCTCGTAGAGATAGCAGGACAACTGTTTTTTTGCCATCTATAGAACCGACGGAGTTAGCCTAATCAAATCATCACAACAGTTCATAGGACCCTTAAGTTTTGGTCGATGTTAAAAAAAATATTAAATACTATTAATAAAAATTTCAGCCTGCGTTTCAAACACTCTGATATCAACCTCTATAGAGAACTCAGTTTTCCTCGTAAATATAGACCCATATATTTTTACAAATGAAAATGGTTTTTCGGGGCATTGCTGAAGTCTCACCATTAAAAGGATGAATTTTGGGTTGCATTTTAACAGTATTCAGAAGTAAATGACAAAATAAAATTTTAGGCCATTATCTTATTCTCAAATAAAAAATCCCAAATATACACGCCTGTCATTAAACTCTCATTGCGTTATGCAAGTTAATTGGTCCTACTGTTAACTTTCCGTCGGGTAATCGAAAATGAAACTGCTATATATCTTAACATTTAACGTTTCAAAACTTTTTGAACATGTTGGCATACCATCGAAAAAATGGATGTTTGTGTGTGTGTATATATGTCGACGATTTCCAGATCACGAAACAATCGATTGACTAAAAAACATTTGTTTATTATTAATAAGGAGACGTTTGGATTAGTTTTTGGCCAAGGTAAGTCGAGCCGATTCGAAGATACGAGGCAAAAAGTGCCAAAAATGGTAACTCAGCTCTTCATATAATAAACATCTTACTTGTATTGACTGACTGTAAAGATTTGATTAGATTAAAATAAGTTAAAAAAATGCAATAAGGTGGTCAGGGCAAATAGTAATAGTATTCAAAGTAAATTTATTTTGACAGACTTTATGGGGACATTTTTATGGAACGTTTTGCTTATTAAAGTGTAATCTCCGAAAACCTGTCACATTTTGAAAAGTCACTAATATTTTTTTAATTTTCAATATCACCGCATTGCACAAACCTTGATTCAATAACATTTCAAACTTATTACATAATCTTGGTAATATTTTTAGAATAAAATTTTAAGAAACTTAATCCATCACAATGTATCTAATTATTCAAAATTACGACACCGCTGTTGCTATTTAAGAATACATATTTTGGCTTCTAATATAATTTTTAAAAATTTATGCAATGTCCCATTGCAATAATCGTTTACATTTATTACACAAATTGAGTAACGGCCCGAGAAATAATTATGTTTTCGTCGCATGAATAAAACGCAATTCATTTCTTTTGTGGAATTAATTCACACGATTAGAAATTTTGGTAATTATGAATTGGCCGCTGGAATGCTGAGTAAATGTTAAAAGTATTACAAACATGATTATATTAATTTTGAAAAGTACACTTATTATAGTTATAATTATATAAATAAAAAAATAATTTTTAATAATCCCTACTATATATATATATATATATATATATATATATATATATATATATATATATATATATAAGGTTTTCGGGATCAAATTTAATACAAATTTACTTTATTTTTAATTACTAATACGATTTTAATAATATTATCTACAAAAATATAGATTTATTTAACTGATTTTGTTCGTACATTATCCTTTGTCATAAAACGTTATTCATTTAATAAAATTAAGAAAAGATAATCTATTTTGGCACATTTAAGGACTATTCTATTGTAAAAATATCAAAAACAGTATTTTGAATTTGTTCATATTTTCAAATCATATCATAACTATTCAAGAATATGTATACAAAAAAATTTTATAGAAATTCAAATTATTTTTGAAAATTTAGAAACTCTTTTACTTGAAATTGTCAGTGAATCTTTTTTATAGACTTCTCTCTGGCATATACTAACCCCATTCCCAAATTCCAATTTTACACCGTGAAATCGGTTTTTAATAACTGTTAATTTTAAACATTTTAACGTTTTTTACTTTTTTCTGTACTTTTGTAACTTTGATAAAAAAATATAAGAAATATAAGAGTAACAAAATGTATAGCCTTTTTTACGATGATTCAAAATATCACCTAAAATTGATGTCAAAATACCTTAATAAATGATCTAAATTCCTTAATACATTGTCTTTTATTTTATTTTTAAATGAAAAAGGGTTATAATTGCTAGGAATGTCAAATATGTATTCAAATATATACGTAAAAATAAATAACTGAATATATGCTGCTTTATGTAAGTATATATATATATATATATATATATATATATATATGTAAATATATATACAGAATAAACCTGATGATGGAACGTATCTAGTTCCAAAACAAATTGTTTTTTATTATTGTATTTGTTCGGAATCCAGAAATTATCTATTGAATATATATATATATTTATATCTTGATAGTTTTTTCGACGTTGAAACATATTTCGAAGTAACTAGCAGCCCATTCGTCGAAATAAAAAAGGTATAAAGTACAAAAACTTTTATTTATACGTTTCGACACAAGATGCGTGTCATCATTCAGCAACACAGGACAAAAACACTCAAAAAAACTTTAATTTAAAAAATTAAACTGATAACATATTAGAAAAAACATTTTTGTAGAAAAAATTGTGAATAACTAAAAGATTTGAAAACTAATTTGACTAAAAGTTTTAAAATTTAACATTGTGAGGCAAGAAACACGCCCATACTCGACTGTAATGAGTCGACTGTAATTACAGTCGAGTATGGTGCTCGGTATGGGCGTGTTTCTATATATATATATATATATATATATATATATATATATATATATATATATATAGATTGTGAAATATATCACATAGTATTAATTTTAAACTTACAATAGAAAAAATGTTTATAGATATGTTAAAAACAAATATGTTTTTAAATATAACAATATTTCAAACGCTTTAAAATAAATTATCTATGTATATTTGCAAATATATAGTCAAAATTCATTTACATTATGTAGTATAATTTTTTATTTAGTAAAATATTTGATTTAATACCACACTAGTTTTATTATTTCTTGACCAATTTGAAATTTCCAAGAAATCCCAAAATAATTTCAAATTTTAAAAAATCACAGGAACCATAGGCAACACATATTTAAAAGTATATTATTAAACTGATCAGTGAATTTTAAAATAATGAAGATGTTTTTATATAAATGTTTTAGTGATAGTCACTCACATAGTAATCCACAGCGTAGCCAGGCCGGGCCAAAGCGCACGGCGCTAAAACAAGCGTCACGACGATCAAAACTTTGAAAGCTCCCATGGTAAAAATTAAATTATTTTTATCACTGATTTACTTATTCAATTTCTGAATCCAGTCTTGTAGTCCAGACGATGTTAACAACACTATCAAACTGTTACGTTTTCAAATTCGGTTCGCGGCTTTATACATGTGTTCTCTGTAACGGATCCGTTTTCGCAACCGACCACCACAAGTCAGAACATCTGTTTCGGAGGGGGGTCCTTAGGCGGCTGATGGACGAGGTGTTTGTTAACTCGTACTGTCTACTTGAAAATTCAATTTCCAAAATATTAACCAGCTAGTTGTAATTGATGAATATACTCGTCATGGAGAATAGGCAGAATTTTGTGTAATATACATTTCTGACCATTGGCTATATACATTTCAAACTTCGAAAAAAGAATCAAAATGTGTTTTCAATTTTCATGACATTTTAAATTTTTGTCGCAAAAAATCTAAATTTTACCTTTAAACAAGATTGAACCTCTGTGTCTCGCTTTACTCTACACAAAATAATTATTTGCATAATTTACAAAAATTTTAATTTTTCTAGTAAGGTAACTAGAGGCTGTAACAGTTTTTAACTTCCCGTAGGGCAAGTTATAGTAATAGCAAAAAAATCGAAAATGAAAATTTTTATATATCTTTACGTTTCAAAGGTTTCTGAACATTTTGGCATACCTTAGAAAAAATGGATGTATGTGTGTGTGTGTGTATGTATGTATGTGCGTGTGTGTATGTATGTGCGGATACAAATTTTCGTCGACGATTTCGGGAACACGGATCAACCGATTTGAATAATTCAAAAAACATTCGATTCGTATTGATAAGGAGACGTGCTGATTAGTTTTTGGCGAAGGCAGGTCTAGCCGTTCCGAAGATACGGGGCAAAAAGTGCCGAAAACGGTAACTCAGTTTTTAAGAGAACGGAGCGTCCGATTTGAATAATTTGAATAATAATTGAAAAAGTAAAAAAATGAGCCATTTGGCGGTCAAAAATGATCATTAGACATATGCACATCAAATTATCAGATATTTTATAGAGATTTTATAGATACATTTTGTTAACATTTCTATGGGTTCCGTACCAATGCTTATGCGTTAGACAGCGACGCGGCGCTTACGCGCTTTATATTTTGTCCCTATGCAGTTAAAGCTGTACGATTGCTTTGAAAAAAAGTTCAGATCTTCTACAATATGTCAAAATAAAGAAAAAAAATTTTTTTTCAAAAAAAAAAAATTTAAAAAAAAATGTTTTTTTTAAATTTTTTTTTTCAAAAAAAAGTTATTTTTTGTCCAATTTATAGTTTCTCAAAAATCTTATTCTTTCAAAATAATTTTTTTTCAAAATGTTAATTGTTTTTAAAAAAATAATAATTTTTGGTACGGGAAGTTCCAGCAATTTGCCTTAAGGCACGATGCCTTAATTGCCTTAACACAGAATTCCACTTACAGCTAGTTTTTTATATTTAACCCTTTGGACTCCGGGCCTTTGATGTACATGACGACTCAGCAGCTTCGCATCATCACCGACAGTTGTTGGCTTGTAATATTTGTCAACGGTCTGGAATGATAAAGTTGTATTGTCGGATTGGGTAAAAACTAGTGGTGCATGGAATCGTGTCTTAAGGCAAATTACTGGAACTTCCCGTACCAGAATTAAATTTTCGAGGAAAAAAATTCAGTAATCAATGAACAATGATTAATAACAATTGTTTTAAACATTTTCAAATAGATAATTATTGTTCATAAAATATCCAGTGACGATCTTATCGTTCAAAACACTTAAGAATGTTTACATTAGCAAAAGGTGCCAAATAAATCCATCTGAGGATATATTTCTTACGATTAGAATAACGCATTTGAAATATATACATTTTCAAACTGGATTGTGAATTTAAAATTGATATTTTTTTTATTTTACTTTATTTGACTTTGCTACCTATATCACATTTGGTCATATACAAACATAATGATATACATGTACATTAGAAATAAATACATAACATTTTATTACTAAACTAGTGGGGCGTATGGCATAGTGCCTTAAGGCAAATTGCTGGAACTTCCCGTACCAAAATTATTATTTTTTTAAAAGAGATTAACATTTCTGAAAAAAAATTTTTTCGAAAAAATTAGATTTTTGAGAAACTATAAATTCGACAAAAAATTACTTTTTTTTGAAAAAAAATATTGTTTGTATAATTTTTTTTTTTTTATTTTGGCATAGTTTGAAAATTCTGAACTTTTTTTTTCAAAGCAATCGTACTGCTTTAACTGCATAGATACGAAATGTAAAGCGCGTAAGGATAAATTGGTACGGAACCCATAGAAATGTAAACAAAATTCATACTTATAGTTAAAATCACTATAAAATATCTGATAATTTGATGTGCATATGTCTATGATCATTTTTGACGGCCAAATGGCTTTTTGTTTTACTTTTTTCATTAGATCTCCAAACCACTAGACCCTGCCCATGATCAATTCTTCATCTTGTCAATACAAGTAAAATGGTTTTTGAATTTTTAAAATGAGACGCTCCATTCTGTTAAAGACCGTGTTACAATTTTTGGCACTTTTTGCCCCGTATCTTTGGAAACGGCTAGACCTGCCTACACCAAAAACTAATCAGCACCTCTCCTTATCAGTATGAATCGAATGTTTTTTTAAATTATTTAAATCGGTTGATCGGTTTCCCGAAATCGTCGACAAAAATTTGTATCCGCACCACACACATACTCGTACATCCATTTTTTCTAAGGTATGCCAAAATATTCAGAAACCTTTGAAACGTCGAGAAATGCAAATATTTTATTTTTAATTTTTTTACGATTACTATAACTTGCCATACGGGAAGTTAAAAATGAGTTGAGTCCACATGTTATAATTATGTCGAAATGGGTCCGACAACGGAGTTGTGGTACTCATATTATATGTCGGACTGGGGCCGACAACGGAGTCCAAAGGGTTAATATATCTTGAAATCCACTGATTATAATCTTATAAGATGAAAATGAATAGATACTATAACTGAGAGATACTAACTCTTCTAGCGAATCCAATACAAATAATTCCATAACTATTGTGCATTGTTTTCACAATTAACCATTGTCTAAGAAAAGCCCGGTGTTATAACTAACCCAGTGTTTGAGGCTAGTTGTAACATCTACTGGGGTAAGTAGTAACGAAAAAAGAGCGACAATATTCAATATAATTTTTTTTTGGAGAAAGTTAATTCATTTTATAATTAAAGTTAACTGCAGTTATTACGAATAAAAAATATTGTGCTCTCTGTAACACAATCTACATGTGCCCATATTGCTTACAAATATGCATTCCACCCATTCATCTTCACTAACTCCGGTATTATATTTACATTGATCAAGATAACTTTCTATTCAAGCAATTATATATTACAAAAATTGTTACGCATTATCAAAGATTCATAATTATATATAAAACTAGCAAA